TTCATAACATTCCTTCCTCTTTTGTTAACTATGGAGACTGTATTTTACAGTAGAAACAAACAATCCAGTTTTAGTGCTTGTATATGTCTGTTACACGATAGGTGAGCGAACATCCCATGCACCAATGCCAGAGTGTTTTTCTTAGTGGTATCTGTAGGGGCATCCCTGCTCCTCATGATTAGAATAGAGCTATGTAAAGGGTGGTGTTGCTGCCACACCCCACCTTCAGTTCCTTCTTACCTTTAATAGCAGAGAATTCTGTGATCCTCATGAGCAAACTTCTTTCTGCTTCTTTTCTTACCTCGTGGTACTTTTTCATCACTACATTTCTTTCTTTTTTTCCTTTTCCTTTTCCATTTGAATTTTTTTCAGCCAGATGGGCCTCAAGGCCTTGCCCTTAACAGGGGAAACTTATACAAATATCCCTAGGTTTCAAGTCTTGTTTGAAAAAAGCTCTTGTTGCCAAAAGCCCATGTCTTACTGGTGCTTCCTCAAGTCCTTGGATGAGGGCCACAAAAGAGAGATGGATGTTCCACTTGAAGTAGTTTATAGACCAGGAAAAAGAAGCTGAGAAGGGAATATACCTTCATTTATATTCCTATGGAGACTGCTCTTACGCCAGTGTCTAAACCCCTGTAGTTGTCCAAGGAAAATTCTTTGACTCCTTCTTGGAGTCCTCCTTTAGCTTTACCTGGGAATAGGAGCCACAGGAGAATCCCATCACTGGATCTCTTATCTTTGAGGCCAAAAACATTGGAGGAATTGTGGTGAAAGAACAGAAGATATTGATATTGGACTCCTTGGAATCAATGATTCCTCCATAGAAGGTCATTCTAGTACCATAGGTAGAATGATATCGCTGATCATGGTAGGATGACATCCCATACTAATGTATACAATGCCAGAGGCCTGTGTGGTGGTGAGAAATGTGCTGTGCCTATCGGTACCAATATTATCATTGACTCAGGGCAGAGATCCATTATTTGTACCAGTGTAGGCTCTGAGATTGTCAGCTCCAAGGAATACTGTTATGAGTTCATCACCTAAGAGTCCAGTACTACTATCTTTGGCCTCATTCATTCTGATACCAGTTCTAGCTCTTATTCTCAGCAACTGTAACAGGATCTATGCCAGGAATGTAACACTGGAGGAAATCTAAAGAGCTTCCCTGTTAATGGTACTATGACACAGTTCCTATTAACTGGGAAGTCCTTTGTTTCCTCCAGTGTCACATTCCCAACGTAGTCTCAGATCACTGTTGCTGTAAAGCAGACCCAGTAAAGCACCACCATGGCTCTTGTAATACTCTGCATCTTCATCAGACTTTGGGGTAGGCTTTTGAGTCTCACACAGCTAGAAGTCCAGAATGGTGTCCTGCTCCTTTTCTCTTACTCCTTAAACATTAAGAGAAGAACCAGGAATTAAGATGTCTAGGCCAGACATAGCTTGGGCTTATTACGGTACCAGCCTCCTCAATGACCTTACTGGGTACTCCCCAGTGTTTTGATCAACATTACAACTTTCTCACAAAAGCAGATCCCTCAGGAAAGAATATTTTCCTGATGATATTAAGAGGCCTCTGTTGGACTCTCAATTACAGGATTGAGTTAAACTTGCTTCAGACCAATACCTAATCTAGCACTGTAGGATCATCCTCAGGAGCATTTTCCCTTGTCTCCTCTTTGTGCATCTTTATTACCTGATGAAACCCTTTATTACCTGATGAAACCCTGATACTAAAGTTCTTCCTGATCCCTGATCACCGTTAAGGTGTAACTTGAAGGAGAATGTCAGCTGTTGGTATATAAGTGGAGCTCAAGGAGAATATCCACCAAGTGATAGCCCCTCTGTACCTGGCTATGACAGGAAGGTCCATCTATTTAAGATGCTGTGGAAAATGCCTTCCTCCATTTCACTGTGGCCAAATTAATAGAATGTGAATACCAGGTTTTATCCCAGAGGTTTGAGGAATTTTGTGGTAGAGCATCTCATTTCTCAGTCAGCTCTACGGGATTCATTGGATGTAGTAAATTCTGCTGGCAGGGTTGTGGCAGTGACTGTGTGTCCTTCTACCTGGTTGCAGACATCAGGGGGTTCCTGTGGACATAGAACAGACAAACGAGGCCCTTCCTTTCCGTGCTGTGCTTCATTCTCATCTAAGGCAGGTGAGGCTTTACACACTCTTAAGTACTGTGGAGCAGTTTCAAAGTCCTTGGGCCTCTATACTCCAGTTATGAAAAGGCGAAAATATCATTCTCAGTTCCAGCATTGACAGCAATATTCCTTCTATACATGCTGATCACTCCAAAAGAAAGAAAGCTTTCAAAGAGGAAGATCTCTGCCTCCTACTTTCCCAGGCTCTTTATCCAGACATCCACAGGTCACGAATCAATCCAAGTGGTCCCTGATGCCACCACAGCAGTGTTTTATGTGGACAAACAAGGGAACACCAAGTCAGACCATTTCTGACAGGAGGCAGTTGAGCTATGGAATTGATTCAGACAGACCTGAGTCGTTCTCAGGGTATCTCACTTGCTAAAATGTCCTAGTGGATCCCCTCGGCAGATCTTTCAATTTACACTATGAATGGTCTTGCAACACAGCCACTCTAACTTCAGTATTTGGCACAGAGGATTTTCTCAGAGTAGAGCTGTTTGTGATTTGGCAAAACATGAAATATCCCCAGTTTTGTCCACAGCAGGGCATGGCCCTTGGTCAATCTCAGATATTTTCCTGTTTCCATAGGATAAGGATCTGACTAATATGTGTGTATACCCCAGGGCCCCTGATTCCTATTGTCATTCTCAAGTTTACACAAGATAGAGGCAGAATGTTTATTGCACCAGCCTAGCTGAGACAGCCATGGAGGGAGTTTCGCCAGACCAGACTCCCTTGCCCCTGGGCCATCAGGCTCCCAGCTCCTCAGCCAGTCCCGGGGCTGCTGAGGCTCCAAAAGACCTGTCAGACCATGGATGCTGCCAGACCAGAGAGGTTCAACCTGTATTGTGATTTATGCAAGCTGTTGCTGCCACTAATCAAAACTATGGCCAGGTTTTATATCCAGATCCTTGCACGTTGCACCCTCACAACATGTTCATCAGTGGTCAAATGCAGAGGAGTCCACCACTCAGTGGCACTCCAGAATGTCCTCTTTCATAGCAGAAAATCTACAAGAAATGCTTGCCTGGGTCAGTAGGAGTGCTTCTCCATCTGGGTGGCCTCCTATGTGTTCCTGGCTCAGTCTAACATTAGAACAATTCTGTACTACTTTTTGCCTCTTAAGGAGTTGTATTTAGCTGTTAGTTCCATTAGGGTACATCTTTCCACTATCTCAGTGTTTCACTGTCGGATTAATGGCAGTGCTGCTTTTATTTATTCTATCATGACCAAATTCCTGAAAGGTATAGATCGATTGTTTCTACCTATCCGGCTCCCAGTGCCAATTTGTTATTTGAATTTAGTGTTATCTGCTCTTTAATGGATCCTTCTTTTGAATGTTTAGCTTTTTGTTCACTTTTACATCATAGTGGCAGTATCTTTCTTGTGACCATCACCTCAACTGAGATAGTGCAAGAGTTTCATGCGTTTATTATTGATCTATCTCACTCCATTTTCTGTAAGACAAGGTTCACCTTAGGCTGCTACCTAAGTTCCTCCCAAAGGTGGTATCATACTCTACTCAGCAGTTTCAAAGCCACATGATCACAAGGATGAACAAAGACTATTTACTCTGGATGTGCATCAAGCTTCGGCTTTTTACCTGGACAGGGCAAAGCTCTCTTAGGTTTCTTCCCAGCTTTTTTTTCTATGGAGTATTATGAGAGCTTAACCAATTACAGCACAGCAACTTACCAAGTGGATCACTAACAGCATTACTCTGATATTTTGCCAAATGTGTAAAGCGTCTGAGAAAGTGGCCGCATGCTCAACCAGAGCACATTCAGTGTCTGCCGTTTTTGTGGCATATATCCCTATTGTAACTATCTGAAAATCAGTGATGTGGTCTTCCATACATACATTCACCAGACAGCCTGTGCTGGCTGAGACAATCAGGGAAGATGCCAGTGTAGGAAGAGTAATCTTGGAGTCCCTCTTCCAAAGAGGCTGTGGACTGTACCATCTGGGATTACCATCTTGGGAGTCACCTACTTCATAATGGATGTCTGCATGAACTAAAAAAAATTACTCACTTTTTCATAACTTGTTCTTTGAAATGTGTCCATCCGGCTTATCTTTGTCTTCCATTTGATTCCAGTATGAAAAAAAATGAAGGAGTTCAGGGCAGCTCTGCTCTTCACATCAGTTGTTCTGAATTCGAGGAGCTGAGATGTGGGCAGTGTCTGTTTCTAAGGGTACTTCTAAGGAAAACTCTCCAGTATTAGTGGGATATCCAGGATATGTGGGTACCTTATGCTGTAATAGACATCTGCAGCACATCTCAAAGAACAGTTATGAGAACATGAATACAAATTTTTTTACTGGCATCTAACATTCACAGTATTGCAAGTCACTTTTTACAGTGTGAGTGTCACAAATTAGAGAAATGAGTGCAAGATAAGATTTAGAGGGAAAGTAATTGGATATCTTGAAGGAGGAAAGTCACAAATAACTTTCCCAACTCTGAAAAGTTATGGGGAGACACAAATTGGAGGACTGTACTAAGTAGACTTGGTAATTGGTAGAATAGGTTATACAGGTAAGATGAAGAAAGTCTAACATGGTGGTTTTGAAAACAAGAAGTTGATTGATTTTGCACTTTAAAATAAATACAAAAGAATTATGTAGTAAACAAAGTACAACATGGTCCTATTTAAGTGAAAGAGTATATTCTGACATTAAGGGTACGTCTAGACTACATGCTTCTGTCACCAGAGGCATGTAGATTAGGCTACCAGGCATAGGAAAATGAAGTGGCGATTTAAATAATCGCCGCTTCATTTAAATTTACATGGCTGCCGCGCGGAGCCGACAAACAGCTGATCAGTCTGGCTCGCGCTCAGCACGCTAATCTGGACGCTCCCCTGCCGACATCAAAGCCCTTTGTCGACCGCCCTGGTAAACCTCATCCCACGAGGAATAACGGGGCAGTTGACAAAGGGCTTTGATGTCGGCTCCGCGCGGCAGCAATGTAAATTTAAATGAAGCGGCGATTATTTAAATCGCCGCTTCATTTTCCTATGCCTAGTAGCCTAATCTATATGCCTCTGCCAACAGAGGCATGTAGTCTAGACGTACCCTTAGAGACTGACTTATGAACTCCATAAAAGGAATTGCAATAGTCAGAATTGAGAATTGTTTGAGAGGTATCTCATTAAAAACTTGAAATATTCTG